AATCAAATAATTGGTTGCTTGTCTGTGGGTGAATAGAAATAATAAAGAGCAGGACGGAATCTCCTCTTGCAGCACAAGAAAATAAAAGGAACGAAAATGATAGATGTTGAAGTGGTCAGCAGGTCTGAAAAGCATGGATGGAATCTCTCTATGAATCATTATCTTTCTGTGGATTGATGCACTAGTATCTTTTTGTACTACTACAAACCAGCAATAGTACTAGCTAGTTGTGCCCAACAAGCTAAAGCTAGAGTCAGTATTATTTTTACTAAATCCCCCCTGAGAAACTTAATCTGCACGCTGCTGACTCCTGGAAAACTTATTTTAGCATCTGGCCCGGATTCGTGCCTTACAACAAACCAGACGCGTTTGACCGGCCACGCCGCTAGCGTGGCACCTCCATGTCCCGCCTGACGGAAAAATGCGATGATTGTATCCTTTGAGTTGCCATCAGTTGTCTAATTCGGGAGTTCCTACACAACCCCGGCAATATTTCATGTTGTTCCAAAATGATGTCCCTCTTCAGCCACTGGATAAGGCTACCCTTCGCCAGCTCGAGTGTGTTCATCTCTTCATATAGGGGAGTACTGAAATCTTGAAACCTTTGAACTGGAGATGGTAGTCGTCCACGGTGACCTTACCATGGTTGGGGCTAGGGACAACATTGTGGACCTTCGATTGCTCCCCTAGGATAGAAGGGTGGAATTGGCCCTAAGCAGCTTCCACAGGCTCGTCACAGCCGGCGATCCTTACTCTAAGCTTGTAGGGCTTGATAACCTATAACCAAATGGTAAATTTTGTCTTAGGACGGATGGGTTATGGAAGTATCATGTATGTAGTACTATGAATATTTACCGTCGGCTTACCATAACCTCATCGTAGGGATAGAATTTAGGCAGTAAAGCTTGAGCTTGTGGGAAGGCCATGGAAGCGCAGCTACTTCGATGTGCTTACAGACCTTCAATCATTGGCGCAGTCGGTGCTGGTGCTGGTGATGCCGGTCCTCCCCCCAACAACTCTGTTCGTAGGCTTTGTAATAATGACGACCCTTTAAAATCCGCTAATTTTTCATCTTCGCCAGCCTTTTTCTTGGCTTTCTTCTTTTCGCGCTTCTCTTGCAAAGAATGGTTGCGGGCATATTTCCATGGAGCAAAAATCCCAACTCCCCTCATGCGGCCGGGGTGCTTAGGGTTTCCCAATACTTATGGGGGCCCTTCTCCCATGAAGAGGCCATCGTGTGCTTCTTTATCTTTCTTAATCTACAAGGAGAAATATCATTTGATCATATTGTACGAGTAAAAAATTAAACTCATTATGATCAAGGTTTTGTTGACGACTAACCAGCTTCTCCAACTACATCACTCACCGCTTTTCAGCACCATTAGTACCATAAGCACCATCAGTAGCATCAACACCATCAACAACCAGACCATTTTCAATGTTCAAAAAATCCAGGTTAGTAACACCCAATGATATGAGTGATGTTTCTCTTCCTTTTACCCAATTTCCGGTCCTCGGGTCGTGGATGTAGCCAAATTTTGGGGGAAGATTGGTGCTCACAAGATGCTCATCCTCCTGATTCCAAACCTCGGCCTTTGCACCACAACAACTGCTAGGTTAGCACTGGTTAAATTTCTGAACTCATGTGTGTTGATGTCCCTCTGGTATACAGTGCAGAAAATTACCTTTTTCAAACAGACTGAACAATCATCGGTTGGGCCTTCGTCCTCGGAGTTGTCCGCGTGGCTCACCAAGTTTTCCAACTCAGCCTCCTCCTCCGCCTCTTCGGAATCAGCGTAAGTTGCATCTATAAGCTCATCGGATGCGACAGTGGTCTCCTATGCATGTATATTTCTATCAGTGGAAGCTCCGGGTCCATTACGTCCATCGCTGCCTGCTCTTCATCCTCCTCCTCCAACTCCACCTCTTCCTCCTCTCTGTGCATGCCTGCTAACCGCCTCTCCAAGTGAGGCCTTTCTAGCAAACTTGCATCTCTGTCGACCTCGCTGCCTTCTTTACCGCTCATTTGTACTGAAGCTGCTTCGTTGTTCAGATCAAACTCACCAAGCCCATGTCTGTCAGCTTCTGCAGTGTCCTATAGAACTGATCTACAACCTCTTGAACTTGATTCATATAAACCTTACATTACAGATATTCCAGTATTGGAATTCCATATCCTGAATCCTTAATTCTTGCCCGCTTCAATAGATGATGACTAATTAAAAAATATCAACCTTAGGATAAAGAGTTCATGCTTATGTTTACTTCCATTTTTTTTCTTGCACGTAGGAAATGCGATATTTTCTTTTTACTACAAATTTATAAGTTGTTTTGTTTCACTCATATATATAGCTATCTAGTTTAACTTACCAACCCAAATACTAAATAAGAAAATGAATATAAATAGTTAATGGATTGTGTAGGAAAAAATTCCTGTTTTAATGAATCACAAGTAGAGATATTGCTACCACACAAAAAGCCAATGGTATTTCATAACTAATGGATTGAGCAACAGCTCGTAGACCGCTTGAAAAAGAATATTTATTATTTGAGCTATATCCTGTCACAAGAAGACCAATAGGAGCTATACTTGAAATGGCAATCCATAGAAAAACACCAATACTAAGATTGGCTGAAACAAAATGATATCCCAAAGGAATAACTAACAAACTTAATAAAACTGATATGATTGCTATAGATGGTCCAATGCTAAATAAAGAAATATCTCCTCGGGATGGCAGAATATCGTCCACTCTTCGACTGGTAGGGTTTCGGATTGGGCTTGGTGTTTGGGGTTTGGA